ATAGCCCAATCTAAAAACAATCTGGAAAAAATAATAGAAACAGCTTCATCATTCTACAATATGGCCAATATCCAAGTCAACCTCTCCAAATCTATCTTTATATCCAACCAAACAACAGCTAATATTTCATTCTTACAAACAAACCTAGTATTAACACTAGAGATGTAGCCCAAACCCAGTTAAGGAGATTACGATATTTCTACCTAATTTGGGATTGGAATAGACACTTATCGTAATTTTAGACCGAATTCCAAATCCCAAACCCTGTGCTATTCTTTATTGAGCATCCCAAACTCAACAACCAATTAGAAATGCATAAAAATTTGCATTATTATTCTCTTTCGCTGTTATTATTGCTTTAAAGTTAAATATTATCGTCTTCATATGTATATATACATGTTTTACCAACCTTATATTTATATTGTCTTCCTAGAACGTTTAGTACATGGTCAGCAAAGAGTACTTCACAACCTTTCTCTGGTAATTTAGAGGCTATGAATAGTTTTTACAGGTACAATATACATACATACGTACGTATGTCTTGCATTCTAAATTTGTTCATTTATGTTAGTAGGTTTAAATAGAATGAATTTCGTTTATAAAATAATAAAATTAGACTATTGAATTTAAAAATAGTATTCTTTTTTTTTTTTTTAGTGATTCCAGAAGTATTACAAATTATGACCATTCTAGTTATAGTTATCTATTTAAAAATATATGATTTTATTTATATATATATGATTATTGACATGGCGAATGGTATAGTACATTTTTATTCATAAAAGAAGGTAATGATATATTTTTATTGGCAATAATGTATTTTTTACCATGAAAGAGAACAATTGATATATTTTTTTACCATAAAAGAGAACAATTTTTTTTTAGAAAGGAGTATTTGATTGATATATTTTTACCATGAAAGAGAGCAATTATTTTTTTAGAAAGGAGTATTATAAAAGAGGGCTATAATATATTTTTGTATAATAAAGCGATATTTAAAAGAGTATAATAGTACATTTTTTTATGTAAAAAATCTTTGTTCTAAATTTAATATTAAAAATTTCAATAAAGCAATAAACTGAAGCGAATAAAATATATTATAAATTTAACTTTCGTGAATATTTTTTTTATTTTTAACTACTTTTAAACAACAAAAAAACTATGGTTCTCATATATACATATATATAATAATCAGGCTTAATTTCTTTGTGTTAAAACCAACAGTTAAAAATATCTTTGAAATGGAACAAGATTTACTTGAAGAATTTTCTGAATTGTCTCAATCTGAAACTACTATTAAAAAACGTAAAACTGGAAAGACAAGTTTACAAAAAATAGTAGTAAATCGAGGTGGGCATCCAAAAGCTCCTATTTGGGAAGATTTTAATCTAAGCGAATCTGATGGAAAAGGACATTATGGTGCAGCATGTCGATACTGTAGTGTAGGACATTAGAAGTGTGGAAAGCCTATGACTATGGAATCTCACTTGGCATTACATTGTAAAGGCAATGTTCCTGAAGAAATAAGACGTCGTTGGTTAATTAAAGTAGCAAAACGAAATAATAAAACTAATGTTGAAACTAGTGATAATGAAAATGTATTATCTTTCTCATTCAAAAAGTCTAAGATTTCTGAACCTATATCAAATGAAAGATACAATGAAATTACTAGAGCTTTAATTAAAGCTTTTATTTGTTGTGGAATTCCTTTCTCTGTAATTGATAATCCATTTTTTCGAAATCTTCTTAAATTACTTGAACCAGAATATAATCCTCCTGAAAGAATTACATTAGCAAAACGTATTCTTGATGAAGAAGCTGCTCATGTAACAGTAAATATCGATAATTTACTTAACAAAGAACATAATCTAACATTAGGTAAATAAACTAAATAAATAATTTTTTATATATATAGTATATATTTTATTTAATTTAATTTTATTTTAATATATAATATTAATATATATCGGTATGTAGCACTTGATGGATGGTCAAGCCCAACTAATGATATTTTTGAGATAAGTGGGTTATAATAAATTCGCCAAAAGAGTGGAGTGATAGTTTCACCCTGGTCAATTCCATTCTGGACTGTATAGTAATTAGTGAGGCCAAAGTTAGTAATAACTCTGTTAGTGCAATCTGAAAAAAGGTTGGTAAGGATGCTAATAAGCTGTTGAGGCATGCCGATTCTTTATAGAGATTTTAGGAATAGACTAAAATGGACTGAGTCATAGGCTTTACTCATATCTTGTAAGAGGATCCATAGCTGATTGGAATTGCATATTGCATCTTCTATAATATTGTTAAGGATATGGATTAAAATAGAGGTAGAGTTGCCTGGTAGTACAACATAGTTGAAGAGAGATAGAATTTCATTTTTGGAAAGAATCTTGTTAAGACAGTTAGTAAGAAGCTTGGTATAAAGCTTCTTGATATATTTGATAAGGCTTATAGGTCTAGTGTTGGCCAGGTTGCCATCGAAGATTGGTTTTTTAGATATAGGATAGATTCTTCTTTCTTTCCATTGTTTTGAAATTGTTTGGGAGGAAAGACATTGGTTAAGGAGGGCAGTTATTCCTTTGATGAAGCTAGAACCTGCATGTTTAAGCATTTTATAGCTTATTCCAGAGTATCCACATGCTTTGTTATTAGGCATCTGGCTAAGAGTAGTAAGTATCTCCTCTTGAGAGAAGTTTGTGAGTGCTTTTGAGTACCAGTCTTGCTAAATATGTGGTTTAGAGTTGTATTCTGTTTGCCAGTGTGAGTTGAATATATCTTGGTCGATTGTACGCAAAGCAGTTCAGTCACTAAAGTGTTGTTGGATATGTAGTTTGATATCTGTGGGGTCTGTGACTATCTCCTGATCAAGTTTGATGTTATTCAACTTGACTGGGTCTTTATGCCAATTTAGAATACTATTTAGCATGGATGTAGGGCTTGTTTGGAGTTTAGTACATCTTTTTATAATAGCCTCTGTGATTTGTTGGTGTGTCTGTCTAATATTTTTCAGGTTTCTTGTGTGGAATAGTTTCTTCCATTCGGAGTTGGCTTCAACTATTCAGTCTGCTAATGGTTGAACTGCTAGTACAAGTGTGGGAATCTCAATCTGATGTATATGTTATTGTGTTATACAGGTCGAAAAATAAAAAATCAGACACAAATCAGATACCCGATTTTAAACTGATTACTACCTGATTACCACCTGATTTATGCATATTT